TAATCCTCTTTAGAATAAAACGGAAATGCTGATTGTTAATAATGCCCGTAAACTGACATGTTTTTATTGATGGCTATGTATTATGGGGACAAAGGCTCAAAATATTTTTTGACGTTTGCACTCCACTGATCTGTTAAACAGTGAATGCAGTTAATGTACCGTTCAAATATGCGAGCCACTATTTTTTTTTCTTCTTACATAATGTGTGCTTGGTGCACTCGACTCGGGTACTCAGTATCTCTTTCTGTACCGAGCCTCTTCAAAGCAGATTCCAATGAGATAAGCCAGTCTTTCACGAAGAAGCAATTGACCTTGGCCACCCACCGCCCACATCAGTGTAGCTTCCTTTTGTTTACTAATCTCTCTTCGTGGAAATTGTAAGGAAATATGCTATTGTAGATAGAGAGGTTATCGTTTGAATGTTTCGGTGGGCAGCGTTGTCCATTTTTCTTCTCCCATCTCGGTGCTCTTACCGGTCGAAAGACCTAGCATTTACGGTGGGAAATTATTGGGAGATTCAGGGAAAACGTGCAACATGTTCTTTCTGTCCCGTGTATTCGCCGATGTGTTCCAATGTGTTGGGTCTGTTTATCTCTGTGGGGTTTGGAAAACCAGTGGAAGCTCCAGTGAGCATCTTGTCGTGATCTTTGGAGCATGGCAAGGTTTGCACCATTATTAATTGGCTTTTTTCTTTTATAGCATGAAATGCTTTTTAACGCTACCCCCAATCCCAAGATTTTGTCCGTTTGTCCATGCATTTTCGCCTAATTTTAGCGAGGAATGTGCTGTCACCCGACGTCACGTGACCCAGTTTCCCCGCTAAATGTTGCGGGAAAATTCACATCTTGCGGCCAAAATATTAAGTGACTTTCCCCGCGAAATTTTGCGAGAAATTCACGTCAGGTGACCTATTCACCAAGTCAGTTATCCACTAAACTTAGCGGGAAAATTCACGTCTTGTGAACTAGGCACCAATCCAGTTTCCCCGCTAATTTTAGCGGGGGCTATCAACCTCACTTGGGAGGGACCTATACAACCATTCAGTCTCCCCTAGCCCCGTATAGCATTTCATGCATTGGAGCACTTTGGTGGTAAAGGTCGTTGTCAATTCTTTTGAGAGAATTTCGTTGGAATTATGCTATGTATCATTCACCTTTTGATTCTCTTGGGCATATTAGTGAAGGAACGCTGAACATTTTAGAGCAGTGCCACAGGGAAAAAGATACTTAGAAAGAGGTTGGCAGATACTATGTGCACCTGTATTTATTTTCAATCAAAGCCTTTTACATTCTCTTAAAAGAGCGAACAAAAAACGTCAGAAAGATTGGAAAAACAGTTTAAAATAAATTATGCCAAATATGGGTGAAGTTTAAAATTGTCATGCTGCCCTTATCTAAATTAAAAAAAGAAAAGAGGCAGAGGGCAGCAGTGTTATGAGACATATTGAAATATGTCTGAGCATAATGTAAAGTGGCATTGCTCTGTGGTATCCTCTTATATGTCATCAATCTGAAAACACGATGGTTGCTTAAAAGAAACACATGTTAGTGGTCAAAATTAAATATGCTCACATGGTGGCGCAAGCTGACATCCTACTCGAAGGGTTGCCCTACACTCAAGCTGATGTGCAAAACAGCATCCAAGGCCTGAATGTAAGCAATTACAGCGATTGAGAAAGATATATGTATCATTTGTAACAGGAAAACGGTCTTTCCATCTCCATTATGCAATAACAAAAAAAAAGCCTATAAAAAGGAATGTTTTTGTGATGCGTGACAGCTTGCAGCTACTTGGCAGTTGGAGGAAAAAGAGCTCCAATAGCAAACAGACATTCCTGGCAGATGCACTATTATGACATATGAAGTGTGCAATAGAATAAGATGAGGGACACGGGGTGTCTTGGCTTGTTAAATCTTTCTTGCCTCTACTTCCGTGGTGCGGTCTTTTTTTTTTTTATTAACTTATCTGCTTGAGGTGCTTAATGTGTAGCTGATTAGTAGGCAACCTACTGCCATCAGGTTTCCGGATTAAAGTTCTTGAGCACTATGAAACCCCTGTCAGGGTTTCAGATATATTTACCTACCTTTCTATGTTTTGTTCAAACATGCGTTTGGGAATGGAATTCATTGTTTTATGTACCTCCCTTCATAATGTGTCTAAAAGAGCAGCATACCTTGGTAAAATAAATAATAATAAAAAAAGTTGCGTTATAATGATTTATTTTTTTTCTCTCTTTCATTGTAATTCAGCTTTCTCTTTTACTATTTGATATATAACACACATTTTCATGTACACCTCAATTAACTTTTACCATATTTTATTTTTTGTTAGTGACTATTTATATTGTGCATGCTCAATTTATGCCACAAAGTTCTTAAAATAGACTTGTGTAAAAAAGAAAATTGTTACATAAAGAGCATGACTTTAATTGGATCTGTGGCACATTCTATTACATAAGGGTTTGGGAGTTTAATGTTTCTAATTTTTTAAATGTGTGGTCACTGTGTAGATTAACTGGAATGAATCTGGGTGAATAGCCTTGTTGGGAGAAAAGTGAAGAATGACAAGCAGTGGGAAGGGTGCAGACAAAGCGATGCAAATCATGTTGTTTCTGATATGTATCATATATTTGTGCCCCCCCCTGTCCCTCAAGCCATAAAGGCATGTTGGTGATAAGTAGGGTATTGTGTTTTTGGTAAATAAAGATACCATAGAATACCGCACATCCGCCCATCCCACATTAAGCGCCCATTACCAAATTTGTAAGATCTGAGAAAATACGCACAGTACATTGGTATGTAAAATTGATGACCGGACAAGCGCCCATCCCCCATTTTTTTGCGATTATCTCCAAAGTTTGAGTGTGCGCTTGCCCGCTATTTTACGGTAAACCCCGAAAATTAACCCCCGAGTCAGTTTTATCCAAATCGGAGAAAACCGGTAAACCCCGAAATAAACATTTTTAGTGAAAAACCCGAGACTGAGGTATTGACAGACAACAACTTGTCGTCGTCTGTCAATACCTCAGTCTCGGGTTCTCCACAAAAAACGTGTGATATACACCAGCTCACTTGTGCCCTTACGTTCTGTCCCAAAATAAACCCCGATTCCGATCTGACTTTGAAGGAAAAGGAAACTCGAGCTTCAAAGGAAGTATTTTTTATGTACAGCTTTATCTCCAGTTGAGCCGAAGCACATATGGCACCCCCATGAACTGCCCTCAAAGCTGCTATTTTCTTGGGAACTACACACAATATTTTGTTTTCTTTTATTACTGGTACATGGACATTTTACCAGTATTCAGCCCACGTGTATGTTCCTTGAAGGTTGGGGTATTCCATGTCCATGCACTATTTTCTTCGACACAAACCCTGATACTCACTCATTTTTTATCGGACACCTAAAATTGATACCCAAGTGCACCGATTTTCAGCAAAAATAAACACCGAAAACACAGAACCAGACATGTATTAACACATTACTAATAACAAGTTACTTCTACTTGGTTACTTTTTTCAATAACAAGCAACATATTTAGTTACTCTTGTAGAAAAGGAACGAGTAACATACTTAGTTACTTTTAAGGCCATGTAACGAGTAACGGTATTTCGTTATTTTTGAGGAGTAACGTGTACAATGCCGTTTAAACAGGCTAACTACACAGTATGACAGAAGCATGCTTGCGTTCCTTTTGAGAATCGGTAACGAGTAACGTATTTAGATACTTTTCGAGCTAGTAACGAGTAACGGTATTTAGTTACTTTTTCTGTGTAACATGTACATAACTGCACAGAACCCTAGTGATAAGTCAATAAAAATGAGCAGAAGAGTAAAGGAGGCAAAGGGCTCTCAGCTTATTTTGGGTGTGTCTACAAACCAGTTGTGGTGCTGAGGGCATTCTCTTGTGGGACAGTGGGACCTGTCAACCCACTTTTTGGGACGGGGGTTGCTTGTATCGATGTCGGAGAAGAGCAACTCTGCACGCTTCCCCGCCCACCTCTGGTGCCTTGCGCGCCTCCTGCCCACACCCCAGCTCCTCTCAAGACGAGGAAGTTTAGAGGAATGCGTCTGGGGGGGAAGTGGGCACAGGCAATCTTAAAATCCGCGTGTGCGGGAAGGGGTTGGGTAACTGGAACCGTACAACTACAGGAAAGTCTAATTTTGAGTGACTTTTAAAGCTTGCTAGAGGGAAGGTTTTTCAAAAAGATTGCTCATATACAATCTTGCATTTCATGGACACGTGCATCTAGAACAATCTGAATGCCTCTCTGGAGAAAAACTGAAAGTGAACGTAATTCATGAAAAGTCCATGCCTGCAAACGTCCTTTGCCATCCAGACAGTTGCTGTCGGAACTCAGCAGTGAAACTTCGTCTTTGAAAAGCCGCCCCTTAAAGGTTTACGGCTAAGTGGATCCTAAGCTCACTTAATCTGTTTACGATAATGTTATAAACTGAATTCTTTTCCATGTATACTAGACACGCCTGTTGATGAATGGCCAGCACAGCATCTTTGGAAAAGAGCAGAGCTAAAATAAGGTTGAGACATATATTTTAAGTGTGTTTTGTCGTGCATTCTTTCGAGTATAGCTCGTCACCGACTAAAAATGATTGAGCTTGTCGGAAACTTCGTTTCATCTGTTCGTATTACTTCAGCAACTTCTGCACCTTAGTTCAATCATTTCCTGCCTCGAGTGCAGTGAAAGGTCACCATACATTCCACCTGCGTGCTGTATGTGTCTAGTTTACCACACCAATTAGCTTAAGCTTGGCGAGATAGGGAAGTGTGACACCTCTGAAGGAGATCGCTCGACGTTACGTTTGTCACGTGTCTCTCTCCGACATTCTGATTGGTTTGCCATCCATAGCTTTTGCCGTTTGCCAAGATGAAATAGAGTATGGCGTGAGTCACTGCCATCCCGATTGTTAGCTCTAGAAAGTGTTGTCTGGTACAAAGTGATGCAGACTGCGCTGAGCGCGTGGATTCCCCGTCTAACCCCCAGGGAGAAGCGCAAGATTGAGGTGGTGCTGGTGACTGGCTCAAGCGGCTTCCTGGGCCAGCACGTGGTGAAGCTGCTGCAGGAGCATGACAAAACCGTCAAGGAGATACGCCTTTTTGACATCAAGCCATACGAGAACAATCTCAGTGAGTTGGGTTCATGCTTTTAATGATAATAACGTCGATGGTGATCACTATATTCGGCAATGATCTTGCGACCATGTCACAAATGCACACCTCTGCAGTTGGAATGCGATATTAGTTGGAATGCAACTGCGTCGTTTGCACGGCAAGTCGTGTAACACGATCACGTACTGCCAAGTTTGCGAAGCGCGCCTTTTAACCATAAAATTATACACTATGTGTCGTGACTGAACACCTCTTGAATCAAACATTCACAGCCAGCACTACGTGGTTGCCTGGTCAGTTCGGAAGCAGCCGGAAGGTAGTGAAAAAAGACATAGGGGCTGGTCCCGTTAGAGTGGCTCAGGGGGAACCGGAACAGTCTGTTATTTTTCTCCCCAGCTTCACGTGTTTCAAACTCTTAAAGCCATGGCATACTGTTCTCCCTATGTTTCTGAAGCTAGCGATTTAATTTGGAGCAATATTCGCATGCCCCTAAAGTAATGAAAGAAAAATATCAGCTTCATTCGCACATAAAATTAAAAAAACGGAAATCGAGTGGAAAATAGGGGCCTCCAGTCAGACTTGCCGTGATTGGTAATCGATCAAAGTATGTGAGAGGTTTCAAGGCCTTTGAGCCAGTGATCAGTTTAAACCAATCCCTGCTTATGCAAGGAACTCGTATCTACAAGAGTGCCCTCAAATTTTCTGCCAGGTTTACCGTGTCGTTAAGCATAACCACACTCCTTAAATTACTTACCTGGTTTGGAATCTTTTCGTCACGCTATGGGAAAGTTTTTCCTACTGACAAATTGCAGCACCAGAGGCGTGCTGCCAACCTTAGGAGTCGATCAATGAGATCGCTCGGAGAACCTAACAGGACGTGGGTTCGGAGGAGGTACCGCGGAGAAGTTACTCTTTTCTAAAATTCCATGAATTTGTCAAAAAGTTGGGTTATACTTGAGACTTAGGGGTCATATATCATTTCTTTAGCTTTAGTCCCCAAACTATACTCCCCCTTTTGCTTTCTTCATGAAGTAGCAAATCAGCTCTAAGTGCAGGTTAGCCTGTCTGTGTTTGTCAATAAGCAATTCTTCCTCTATATATTTATTTTCTAGGGAAGAATTTGTGGTAGTTTCTAGACCATTAAGTAGTTTATCTAAGGATGGTGGCATAATTTTAATCCAAATCTTGAGGAATTTACTCTACATTTGGCTTCTGCCACAACAGCATCTCGTTGTGGCAGAAGCGTCTCTCCAAATCAGTTTATATTATTATATCAGTAAGGTACTCATAGATGTCACTGAAAAAGCAGGCCCATAGCCAGTTGTTTTCATTAAAATGAAACGTACAAGGCATAGAGTGAGCAATAAGGGCTATTAAGAAACTAGGCGCACACACTGTACAACAAAAAAATATTCAACGAGACTTGTATAATCATAGGGGCCATAGTATTTGACCTAACCAAGAGGATGGTGTTGAGGGTGTAGGTGAGTTAAAGGTAGAGTTTTACTGCTTGGCTAAAATTGTGTGAACACTAAAGATAGTTAGGCGGGGAGTTCCGTATTTAGTGGCACTGAATTCTGAGCCAGCAGAGCCGGCAATGAGGTGCCGAGAAGTTTCTTCCATCGGAGGCTGTCCTTTCTGCCATCCCTTCAGAGCACACGACGGAGAAGCCAATGAAAGCGACGGTGGGAGACATCTGCAACGCCAAGGCGGTGCAGGAGGCCTTTGCGGGCGTGGACTGCGTCATCCACACGGCCGCCCTCGTCGACGTCGGCATGTTCCCCGACACCGAGGCCCTGGAGGCGGTCAACGTCGAAGGTGGGATCCCTCTGTGGTCGCACTCCTCCACTGGTCCTGGGTGCACCCTATCCTATTGTCGCTTGTGATCTTTACAATAAGTTGGCAGTAGCTGATCTATTACAATGACAAAATAGACCAGACAATACTTGCGAACCAACTTGAAGCTCTAAAACAAAGAAAGAGGGACGCTACTCACTTAGCACACATAGTTTGGTCTATTTAACCTAAAAAAAAAAGCCCAACATAAATAAAAATAAAAAAGTTTTATTGTTTGATTTAACTGCAATTGAGGGCTCCGGGGACCCAAAAGTGTCTGCAAAGCCCCATTTGAGAACCGTTGGCATAGGGTTTGTCATGGTCACGTGATGGCCACCAATTAAGAAGTTGCTCGAGAAAAACTAAATGGGAAGGCCTCCACTGAGCAAACATGTGGGCTTTGCAGGCACAAGGACTGTGATTGACGCGTGCATCCGCCAGAACGTGCCGTATTTGGTATTCACGAGCACGGTGGACGTGGTGGTGAGCAGCAACCACATCTTCTTCGGGGCGGAGAACACCACCTTCACCCCCAAGCACTTCCTGATGGGGCCCTACGCGGAGACCAAGCACCGGGCCGAGCAGCTGGTGCTCCAGGCCAACCAGCGCGTCCTCGCAGACGGTGAGGCCCACCCGCCGTCCTTGCTTTGAGCCTGTAGGCCAGACAAAGAGACAGACCGCATTTCAAATTGCCAGGAAAGAAAAGGAATCATTGCTTCCTAATTACTGTAAACGACTTAAGTTTCGTGAATCGGGCCACAGCTGAATATTTGAAATTATTTGCGGGTTCTAATTTTCGTGAATCGAGTGTGGCTTCCATAGCGTTCACATATTGCACGAATTGTTCGCAGGACATATTTTTCGCGAATTGTAGGCGATTCGCGAAATTCGCGAAAATTAGGTCCTTGCGAAAATTTAGTCGTTTGCAGTATTTCGATCGCGACTACTCGTCACATTTATTTTGTTGTCTTCTCCTTACGGCTTGTGCACAATCGGCTAGCTTTGTAACCGACCGACGCAGATGTAGGAGAAATTGACCAGGAAGTGACTGGAGACGATTTGCGCATTTCATTCTTTTCTTGCACGATTTATCCTGGCCATGTTTGCATAGCCATTGTGCATTCTGTGGTCCAGATTCCAACACAAGTAACTGTGACTTTGTAATGAGTGTAGGGGCCAGATGATATTGTAACCATATAAAGCTTGTTTTAGGTTTCTAAATCGGCACTAAAACGTTCTGGGATGCTAGACGTTTACGGAATGCTGCGAAAGATGTACTAGTCGAGTTTTGCCAAACCCAGCATTAAAGAGGGAGAGAGGTGAAGTTCGCAAAACCCTGAGGCCTGTTTACAACGACACGCCACAATATATATTTATATATATATATTAACTGGCAGGTATAACCCTGCCCTAGATTTATAAGAATGCAAAAGAGTCTGAAGTTGGGCTAATCGGTGCATATTAGTAACAGGAGAAAACAGCACAAAAGACACAAGAAACGAAAGACACGAACACAGTCCTGACTCATGACTTTATTTTCATTTTCTTCATCAAGACAGAAAAGCAATGAAGGGAGAGAAAAAAGACTCATTCGCAGCAGGATTGCAAGAATTGTAAAGATATTCTAAATATTGTAGAGAGAGGATTTGAAAAGTAAACATTTCGGCAGAAATCTGCCTGGTTAGGTGAGTATTAGTAAAAGAAGCGGCAGGTACTCTAACCAACTATGTTTAAATAGCCCAACGTTTTGTGGCCTGCTTGGTCGCTTGGTCACGGGTGACTTATTTGGCTGGGTGTTTGTCTTTCTCTTCTTCTCTTTGTCGCTCCCGTTTAAATTGTCCTCTTCTTTTTGTGACATCTCGAAGCCTGTGAATATAAATACTTAAGAGGGTACCGATTGACCAGTTCATGTTGTTCTTTGTATGCTAAACATGCCATGACTCTAAAATGTGTTTTTTTCCAGTTTCTTTCGGTGTCCAGTACGAAACTGCTGTCGAAGTTGTTGACGTGGTTGCACTTTTTTGCATGTTCCACTAGAGCGCTACCTTGTATACGTCCTTCTTTTTTACATCATATTTGTGTCTGGGTAGGCGTTCGGGGAAGTACTTGATTTCTCCACATATGAGACGTTGCAGTCGGTGCAAGGAATACTGTCGAGATTGGTTTTAACGAAGTCAAAGGGAATCAGAAATCACTTTGCTATATCTGCTATTTCGTTATAACCGACTTCGGTTATAACGAAGTGCAAAAGAAAATGGGAAATCGTGATCGCTTCGCTGTAACCGCTATTTCTTTATAACCGGTCTCGACAGTATGATAAACAAGGCCTTGGGCTTTTTCTCATGGATGACAATCTTCTGGAAGAGGAAGATGATGGCCAATGGTCTAGATGGGCTCTTGTGTCACTGCTATGCCGTATGGTTTGAGAGTATGGTTGCTCGTGCCTCCGAGGTATGGGACGCACATGCGGCTGAAGGCGTAAGTTTTCTCGGTTGCAAATGTGGGGTGGTCTGATAAATATCAGACCAATCCACATCTCACATCTCTTCCATAGTTCGGCACTATTTTGACATGCTGTCACGGTGCATTCTATAGATGATAAATATCAGATCACCCCACAACTCGCAAATCTTCCTTAGTTTCAGCACTATTTCGACGTGTCGTCACAGTGTGTTCCACAGATAAGGCGTGTGAAGAGGAAGTGGATATTACAAAACGGGATGTTAAGATGCATATCAAACAATATTCATCAACAATATCTACGGGAAACTTTGTCACCAATCTACAGCCAAGAAAACTCATCCTTCCAGCTGCACGTGCGTCCCGAACCTTAGAGGCACGAGTGAAGTTCCCACCCCGTGCTCTGAAATTATACAGCGTAGCAAAATAAAAATTGGGGTGTGTGTATGTTTATACAGCCTAGAACCTTGTCTGCCCCATGGGGACCAGACGTTAGTGCAGTACAAGCACTAACGCCTGGTCTTTAACGTGCATCGCGCAGAAGTGATACATGACCGCATGCCGATACAATGTTTATCCAGATCGAAACTGGCAGGGCTGGGGATTGAATCCAGGATCCCTGGGTTCTGCAGCGCAAGCTTTCGCTCCACGTACTTCGAACTGGTGTGCGCGACCCCACTCGGCCACCAATCCCCCCTACGGCATAGCAGTGACACATAAACCCGTATCGACCATTGGCCATCATCTTCCTCTTCCAAAAGATTGTCATTCAAAAGAAAAAGCCCCAGGCCTTGTTTATCGTATTCCTTGCGCCGACTGCAGCCCCTCATATGTAGGGGAAACCAAGAACTTCCCCAAACGTCTATGCAGACACAAATACAATCTAAAAAAGAAGGACGCACAACGTAACGCTCTAGCGGAACATGCAGAAAAGAGCAACCACGTCATCGACTTCGACAGCAGTTCCGTCCTAGACACCGAAAGAAACTGGAGAAAAATACTCTCTTTAGAGCAGGGGTGGAACGGCTGCGCCATTTGCGCCATTTTGCGCCAGACTCATTTGCCTGTGCCATCTTGCACCATTTTGCGGAAACTGCGCCACAGGCGCCATTATATGCATCAAATCTCAAAACGTGCGCCAAGAAATGGTATTTTGTCTTGGTTTCGGTTTCTATCGACTCGATTGGCAACAATGAGCGCGTTTACCTTGGTCGGCCTTGCAATCCTTTGGTTTGTTTATTCGCCCTGTGTATCCCGAGTCGGAAGCACGCGGAAATACTCGGGGGTCGGATTCCAAGCGCTACACCACCTGCGACTGGATTGTTATTTTTGAACCATCAGCAGTTAAGCAAGTCGGCTGAGGTGAGGTAGAGTCGTTAAGCGTCAGATTGCCTGAGGCTCTGCGGCCAGGGATCCGGACGTCAGCCAGTTCAAAACAAATGAGCAAGAGATTACTTTTAGTACTTCATTGTTAGAAGTTAAAACCGCATTCCCGGAAGATAAATCTTGATTTAACAGAACTGAAACGCGGTCCGATCCGAAACCTTGCCAGCCAACAGCTCTTACGTGAGCGGTACATCTGCTCGGCTTACTTTAACCTTGCTCCTGCGTATCGCTGCGAATATGATAACTCCGTTAATCGTAGTCTGCTGCTTTGATATCGAGTTGCACGATAGGATGAGCTCGAAATTTGTTACCCTGTTCCTCCGCGCAACTGTACGTCCGTTGCTTACGCACGTCACGTGGTTCGCACATATAATTATTATGTTGATCACGTGGGGGTTGTGCGATAAGCAGTGCTGGTTTGCATTTTGAGTAGCTGAAAGCCACTCAGAAAATATCAAGGACACTCTTCAGAAACAGATGGTACTTTCTTTTCGGTTCTCATTAATGCTCACGAAGTTTCAAGTTTTTGCATCTGTTACGTTGGTATCCCATCTACCTAGTTATTAAGCACTCATGTTTATCTGTGCTGCTGAGCGCAATTAAAATTGTTCCCATGCTGGTCTAAGGCACAAGCTGAAGGGCAATGAAAACTGATCTGAGCTGCTCCTAGCCTGCACCAGAATGAAGTATTAGCTGCGCCCAACCTGCTCCAAAACAGCTCTTTTAGCTGCTCCCGAGGCTGCTCCCAAGTACATTTCATGAGTTCCACCCCTGTTAGAGTCGTGGCATATTCAACATACGAAGAACAACCTGAACCAGTTGATCGGTACCATACCAAGCAGTTATATTCAGCACCTTCGAGGTGTCACAAAAAAAAAAAAAAAAAAAAAAAAGACACTTTAAACGGAAGCGACAAGCTAGGAGAATAAAACAAAAGACTAACACCCAACCAAATAAGTCGCCCGTGAACAAGCGGCCGAGCAGGCCACAAAATGTCGGGCTATTTAAACAAAGAGAGGAATCGCCAAATCACTGAGAGCTTCTTTAATGAAATCTTGTTTTTCTTTAATGAAATCTTGTTTTCATAAAATTTCCAATAGCTTTATAATTCAGATGAACACGCTGATTTCATTGGGTTTCCCTAAGGATGTGATAGTACGGTAATATGGGCAGCAGAATCGCTTTTAACTATCTTCAGACAAACGCTTGGTACTTCTGACAATGCTAGGTGGAAGTTTACATCCTGACGAGTGGTAATACCCTATCTCCATAACCTTTCCCATAGGATCAAGAAGGTGGCGGATAAATAAAAGGTTCCTGTAGCCTTCTCGACCCCTTCTATAAGTTGTCTCGATTGTGTGCTACGGCTGAGGAAGCAAGAAATGATTGTGTAGTGTGTGCAATCAAACATTGTTTCAAATATTTTGCATGCACAGTCAAAGTTTTTTTCTATAAAATTTCATTTTCTTGCAGTAAAGTATTCATAGGACAGACAGGTTGGTGCATGAACGTTCGAGCTAGGGAACACTCTGTCTTTGAGGTCTGCGCCATCGGGTCACCTGGCAGTTCATTCCAATGTGGTTTTATACCACATTGGAATACAATGTCCCTAGTCAATCTTTTGGTGTGTACACACCAAAAGATTGACTGGAGAATTTTATGATGCATATTGCTGCACGCGCAGTTGACCAAGCAGGCATCGCGCTCGTGGCCTAACGGTCATCGCGCTTGCCTTTTACACAAAAAGCCAAGGTTCGATTCCTGGATGCAAGTACACATTTTTATTGACTCTGTAATATCATGTTCTGGTAAATTTGAGAACCGTGTTGTTGATTCGAGGTTAGAAAGTTTGATGCGCAAACCTTCTACGCCGATTGTTCCAGAAGCCCACGCGTCTACAAAAGGGGCTCCGCGTGGCAAGCCGGAGTCAGTCTCACCCCAGCGTTCGATCCTGCTGTTACGCCACTATCGACACCCGCGACGCTCTATTGTTATGTTCTGTTTCCTTTTTGTTTTGGGCACAAGTTGCCCCATTAAACGTTTAGTTTGTTTCAGTTTCCGTTGCCTCATCAATTGTCATTCGTGACAATTTTACATTAGTCTCCACGGTCCTGATGTTTGTGTTATGCAGAGTCAGTTACAATGTGTAAAGAAGAGTTTGAATTCATTCGTAGAATGGGGACATATGTGTGAAAGTTAGGGTTTAGTTACTACAAATCACTGAATTCGTCGACATAGTCGTTGGAAAAATTGTTTTCTTTTCGTCCTATTCTACCACTTCTCCCTGTGGCTGGCCAGGGTGGAGTGATAAGATAAGAGCTTTGGTTGTCCCTCCTATCGAATGTAAGAGTTTATAGCTTTTACGGTTATCAAATCACAACCCTACCTTCCTCTAAGAAGTTCAGTCTGGAAACCAAAACGGTGGTTTGTGTCGTGACCCAGCATTATAATGCTCCGGTGTACCGAATGCACCCCGATGGGATAAAATGTGAACCTTTTTTGGTCAATATTACGAAACTTTGAAGGAATCTGGGGAGGCCTCTTTTAGTGACTGGTGAACCTGTGCTCTGACCAAACTTATTTATAGAAAACTGCCCTTTTTTGCTTCTTTTTGGCCATCGTGACTTTTCTACTCCGAGTTTTTTTGTATAAATCCGGATTTAAGAAGATTTGACCAGCAAGTGCTTTTCCGGTTTTACCGGATTTATCCGAAAACACAATCCGTTACTGCAGTGCGGGCATGCCTACGATCAGTAGTGCCCGTTATTTAACTTGAACTGCTCAGTAACTCCGATAAAAAGAGTGCTCAAACGATGGGGGCGGTTGTGTGGGAGGATCTCTCGAATCGTTTGTCCGGTTTGCAGGAGACACCAAGTTCCGCACGCTGGTGCTGCGCCCCACGGCCATGTACGGGGAGCAGGACCAGCACTTTGTGGTGCAGTTTCTCAAGCACGCTAAGGCCTCCAAGAACTGCCTCACCAAGATCCGCAGCGTAGACGAACGCTTCCAGGTGGGTCATTAAGGAATTCCCATCAGATCCACTCCTCGTCTTAGCCACAATATATTAGAAGTTCATTTATAACTGGTGCGCTTTGTGCATGCATGTTCATTTTTGTCTGCCAGATTTTTTCCTGGTGGCGTCACAATCGTCGGATGAGTCAGATTTGGGGAAGTTTTAGTAGGCGAAGAAATTTTACTAAATTTCGCATAAAAACTTTTGCCGATTAAGAGGTGAAGTGCACGAATGTAATTCATATGCGGCAGCTCGGCTGTCACCACAGTTTGTTTGCAGGACACAGCAAGGGAACAAATCTTTTTCCCAAAGTTCATGTTTGTGTATGTTGCCGCATGTGTGACAGAGTCGGCAGTTGTTACGCAGCGGAACCAGCTTCAAGCCCCATTTGGCCCGTTTTTTTTTTTTTTATAAATCTATTGGGCACGTGCAAATAGGGAATTTTAAGTTTGAAGCGTATACCGTAAAATCACGTAAGGTGCCCTTTCCTGAAAGATCGCCCATCCCGTTTTTTCTAGCTAAATATCCGTACCGTAGGAATTCTGAAACATCACCCACCCCCCGATTCCCGTAAGACATTGCGCGATGGTGATAGTCGTCGCATTAACCGTGCAATCTGCGGTACCAATATGTGTGACAAACGGGTTTGCAGTGGATTCCCGCGCTTTTCACAACAAAAGCTGTATAGGCTTTAACTGATTTATGTATTTATGAGACCGACGGACGTTCGTCTGTGTTTTTCGGTTAGAACCGGGAAGTTTTCGGCCTAACTATAAAGAGAGGCATGGGACGATGCTGCTGTACCGCGTGGGTCAAAGGGACCGATGGCCGTTTGAAGGAATGGCATAAATCAGGTTTTTAATGTATCATGCTAGGATTTACTAGAGGTGCCTGAAGTTGGTGAAAGCATTTGCTAAAGTTGTGGAAAGATTGGCTCAACCGAGCAAATCAAGAAAAATCAAACTGTGTTCTCTTTATACTTTGCATGTACACTAAAAGAATATACTGTGGCGCTTATTTAGGCCAAATAAAGTGAAGAATGGGTCAGTCAATTCCATTTTCTTTCCATTTCACAAATTTTTGAATCGTAGTAAAAGCCAGAATATCCCACAATGATTTTCCGACGATTTTGAGATACAAGGCTTAGCAATAATTTTCCCATAGACAAAACCAGTTTTACTTTCTTTCTTTTGACTCCGGAGGTTTCATGTATTCATACTCTCCATGAATGAATGCACCAGCTTTGAGCACCTCCGTAGTAAATCCCAGTTCGATAAGTTAAGGAACCTAGTTATGCGGTCCCTTCAAACCGTCATCTATCCATTTGACCCACGTGATACGTCTCACGTTTCCCTCCCCAGGTGACATACGTGGGCAATGCGGCGCTGGCCCACCTGTATGCAAAGGACAAGCTGGCCGTGGACGAGTCGGTGGCCGGGGAGGTGTTCTACGTGACGGACGACACCCCGCTGGAGGACATCTACGAGTTCCTGCGGCCCTTTGTGGAGTGCCAGGGCTGCCGCCTGTCGGACTACACGGTGCCCTACCTGCTGGCCATCCTGGTGCTCATGCTGCTGGCCCTGGTGCTGCGCCTGCTGCGCCCGGTGTACCGGCCCCGCTCTTTCGTGCCCACCCCGTCGGCCGTCACCTACATCTGCACCTCGCTCTTCTTCAACCGCACCAAGGCTACCCTGCGCCTGGGATACTACCCGGCCGTGTCCCCCGACGAGGCCGTCCAGCGCTCGGTTTCCTACTACAAGGCCATACAGTTCCCGGGCTGAGGGTCCCTGGCTGGCGCGTGAACGGTTTCATGGGGGTTTTTGGGATGTTGTGACGTCTCATGGAGGTCCCCAGGATGCCGCGATGTCCTGTGGCAGTAACGACGTGATCCACAGGAGATCGCAATGTCTCGTGGAAGCCCCTGGGACGTTGCGATGTCCCGTGGAAGCCCCTGGGATGTCGTGACGCCTTGTAGATCTTGTAGGGACGACCGTCTGAGCCGACTCGGTGCCTCGTTACCGTTCCACAATCAGGGATGAGCTGTTTTTCTGAAGGGTGACAACGAAGACAATTTTGAAAACTATGTCATGTTTTTTTTTTTTTTGTTTTTTTCTTGAGGTTTTTTTGGGGCCAAGTACACCCTCTGCATATTTTTTCCACAATTTTCACACCTATATTATTTTGTGCAAAGGTCAACATGGAAACAGTGGCAGGCCTCTGTTCAGTATTTGCCCTTGAGACAGAAAGAGATGCATAGTGTTCCCAGCTAAAATTTGGAGAAGGCAACTGTGGGAAGTGGAAGCAAGCATGAACACTCACCTTTTACTTCTTTTGAGACACAGAATTGCCATTTTACATTGGGGGCTTTAAATTTTAATTTGTTTTCTCGGGTTCTTTAAATAAAGATTCCTCATCTCTCTTGGTTATAACTTGCATCAGATTTCTGCAGTTAATTTTTTTTTAGGACCTCTGAGCTCAGAAGCTTACATTGATGAGTATATTGTTCACAAGATGTTTACTGAATGGTGGTTTAGGTGACCAAGCTCTTTTCCTTGTGGCACAATTTATCGAGGGGTTTCCTTTTTCGTAGGGGGTACACCAATGGGTTGCTGCACCCCCCGTGTTTGTGGGTGAATGTCCAGTAAGTTTTGGCCTCTCCTGATAACCTGGGGTTCACTCTTTGGCTGGAGGTTCCAGTTGTACCTGCTTGTGTGTTTGAGGTGTACCAATTTGTTGTGGAAAGGTGCTTTTGTATCGGATATTTCTATGTACGCACTTCCTGGTCTTATACTGATAGTTTTATATTTTTACTACAAACTTGTTGGTTCCTTTGCCTGTGCCTCAAGACGTCTGTGTTGCGCTGTCTTGGCAAAAGTGCCTTCTTTTTTTATATAAAATGCTCTATTCTTCTTATCCCCGGTGTCCGTGTGCATAATTTGTGCTGTTTTTCTTTTTTTATTGATTATTTGGAAAGGTATGTTCATCTAAAGAACATATCTGCTGGCTACTTGTGCACTGTCATGTTCACTTTAAATCAAATTGGTAGAAGTTTCAAATTTTATATAAAAAATTCAGTGAAAATAAAATAAACTAAACTTATGCCCGTCAATATTCCATGTATAGGGCTACACCCGCATAGTATTTGGTGAGCGACAAATATAATAACTCATGAGTTACAAGGCTCTGAAGTTGTCACCGCATTGTCACGTGGGAGCGATTTCGATCACTTCTAGAGAAGATACAACAAAAAAAGGGGGAAATCCCATCAAGCCAATTGAAAGTTCATATGATCGGCAGCAATAATAAAAAAATTTAACGAAATAAAAAGTGTCCTTTTTTGATAAAGTGAGTTCAAAATATCGGTTAATTTCATTTTCGACGATATTTCAAATTTTATATAAAAAATTCAGTGACAATAAAATAAACAAAACTTATGCCCGTCGATAGCTCATGTATAGGGCTACACCCACATAGTATTTAGTAAGTGACAATTATAATAACTCATGAGTTACAAGGCTCTGAAGATGTCACCGGATTGTCAAAGAGACGATGTTTGGCATTTTGTACCTCAATAAACAAAACTACAAAAGTATTTTCCCTTCAACTAAAAAATAGTCCAAATAACACACAAGAGCACAAAAAATTACTGCGAGTTTTGTATGCTTCCCGTATTCATACCAGCGTACAGAACTGGGTAGAAAAATCACGGAGTAAAAATCATTTTCACCCTGCTCCACTCAATAATTTTTTCTGAAGCGAAATATTTTTTTAAAAAAATTTTGAAAAGCGGTTTTCTTCTTTCCAGAAATGGCGCAATTGCATATATTTTTTCAAAAAAAGATCAAAAGACCCACCCCGGCAAGCGTGTTCGATTTCAAATGAAACCACCCATAATATAATAAAATAATTAAAAAACTTGGGGCAAAAAGACAAGCGAGCTGGTTTATATTGAACGTACAGTAAAGTGGGATATAACAAACTAATGGATATAACAAAGCAATCATAATTCCCTTGCTTGCTAATAGTGGGAAGAAATGGACATTGGCTATAACAAACTAATGGTTATAACGAACTAATTACGACTGCTCCTTCAACTTTGTTATAATGAGGTTTTACTGTATTCTCAAAGGTGCGGGCACATTTTGCCCTTGACAAAAAGGGACAAGACAATTTGATGTGTGGTCCTTTCAGTTCGGATATAATAATCATAGAAAAACTACATTTTGGTTACTTAGGTTTAGCCGTTCGGCCAACGCGTTTGGCTGAAGTATTCTAGTACACTGTAGCTGAAGAGAGAAGAACAAGATGCCATGCGACTACAAGGGGCCACCGCGCTTCGATTCAAAATCGAAACTAAATAACTAGTGACGTAACTTCCGCACAGGTATACTAAAACGGAAAAACTTCCAAATAATCTTCCCCCTAAATAAAATTAAAAAAGATTATTTTTAAATACGTATATACTGTTTATATATATACATATATACTTTAAAGAAACATTTTGGCATAGTTTTGTTGATTCCGTTTTGTTTTCTCTTCTCCTTTTTTTAACCCACAGAAAGCACGTGATCATCAGTTTATTTGGTTCAGTTTGCTTTCGGCTGACCGGTGTTTCCTGTGGACGGTGTCACCGTGATCCTACCTCAAAAGCCTCACTTTCGTCACCATCTACCTCATGAAAATTGCGACCGTGCCGCCCCCAAAATGACCCTGTTCTACCTGCCGGGCACGGCGAGCCTGCTTGAAGAGCTCGACAAGAAGCTACTCGTGTTCCTGCGGGACGGACGCACCCTGATCGGCTACCTGCGGAGCATCGACCAGTTCGCCAACCTGGTCCTGCACAAGACCATCGAGCGCATCCACGTGCGCAAGCAGTACGGAGACATCCCCCGGGGCATTTTCGTCGTGCGGGGCGACAACGTCGTGCTCCTCGGCGAGATCGACGAGGCCAAGGAGCGAGACGTGGACTTGGAAGAAGTGAGCGTCGAACAGATCCTCGAAGTTCAGCGGCTCGAAGCTGAGGCCAAGCAGGACCAGGAACGACAGAGGGCCAAGGCGCTTAAGGAGAGAGGACTGCATTACCATCTGGATGTCTCTCACGACGATTATTAGCGTTACCCTTTTAAAGTGTTGCGCGGAATGCATGTGTGTGCCTGTGTGCGTGTTTGAAGGCTGAAGCCACTGTGGCAACATTCGTAAAGTCGAAAACGTGTCTTGAGTGATAATTTTAGTTCACATTCGTTCGAATAAAGTGACATTCGACTGAACCTGTTCATTGCTTTATTTTGTTCCCGCAATTTAGGATGGACGAGGATGTAAACTTTCGTGTAGCGAGCCAGGACGCCAGGAGAAGCTGCATTTCTCGCTTCTAGAAGTCTGGAAGCGTCTTCGGGCATTGCTGCTACAACGCGGAGCGTAAAAATTGTATTCAGTTCATTTGTTTCTCTTTGTTTCCTCAGTTTAAGAAAAAGAAGTGTAAATTAAAGACAGTTTTTGTTTTGTTTGTTTTTTGACGAGGAGACCAAGCAATCGCCAGAGCAATAGACATCACGCGAGCCATTTTTTTAGTGCTTGTTTTCTTCTGGGAGCGTCTGTTTTTCTGGTTTTTCTGGCTTTTCATCCTTCTCAAGATGTCCCGTTGCTTGTTTTTCGCCGATCTGTCCGTGTCGTGCGCCTTTTCGTCACCTGTCGCCAAGCCACCCATGAGATAGATGCCCAGCGAGTGTCGTTCCGAAACGCCCGGAGACGTTAGAGCGTCAGCCGATGCTAACTTGCGTCGGCGAAGATGTCTGCCGCCAGGAAAAGATCGTCGGACGCCAAAGCTATCGGACCGTGCCTTTGTGTCACCGAACTCGTGCAGGTAGACGCGCAGTCCCCCAGACATATACTAGTTGCGACGGTTTAACGTCCACGAGAGTGGATACTTTCGGGGATTAAGGTGTTTCGGGGTTCGAGTTTGTTGCCTTTTTGGACCCTGACCTTTTATCTCTGCTCGCTCCTTGACAGCTGACTCAGTTGGGCATCCCGCTGGAGCACGTCACCTGGCCCCGGGTGACGATGACTTCGAACCAGTGGCTCTGCATCCGACATGGCATGGCGTGCCTCAAGTACGTGCGGCGGCGTTACTTTGCTGCTCGGTATCACGTGGCTTATGCTGCTCGCGCTGGGCGATCCACCGCTGCAGATGGAGATGCTCGTGGCACCACACTTGACGTCGCTTCACAAGTCACACCTGCGATTTTTTCTACGGACATGGTGTTGTTTCTAATTGATGTGCCACTGACTTGGCAGTAGTCACACGATAAGTCATATCAGCTGCAGTATGAATACTAGTGTGTACTATAGCTAGTGAGTAGAGCAATTCAAATATCTGGTTTTTGTTTCTCATGTCCAGGGTACAAGTTATCTAGTGGAGTAATTAAAACAGCTAACGTGGGAGGTCTCTACAGGTCAACACACTATATTAATTGCACGGTTAATGCGCGGTGGTACACTGTCTGCGTACTGTAACGTGCAGGAAGAGCCTTCGCTTCATTGTGTCAGCTTGTGTCTAGATGCACAGCGAGTGGATCTGGCGGACGACATTATATTACAATGTGAATGACAGGTGCTGCGGTTTTGAGTGTCTAGACAGAAGTAAGTCTGATGCGTGTTTTGGTTCTTGTCTAGAACTCTTGTCTGCTGCCCCCACGTTGACGGCCTTTCATTGTCCCGTGACTACAAGTGGCATCGTCGTACCCGACTACTCTGTGCCCAGAAGACAAAAGTCAAACATGGCAGCGTTGACCGTGCTGTACATGCCAACGTTTCCAGCAAAAGTGTTTGAAACGAATTGACGGCACCCTACGCCCGAGAGAGTCCAAAGGTTGCCTGTCAGTGCAACAAGGGTAGTGCTTCCGTGTTTGAATCTCCACCAACTTGCCCTCCGAAAGGAGCCACGGCGTGACGTTTCCTCGTCTTTTGATTCCTTGGACTTCCTAACTGTATGGGCGCGCAAACTCCCTATCTTCGAGGTCGTCGCTTGCAACTCGTCCTTTTGTTTCCTTTTTGCAGCGGAGCCGGCGCCACCGGTGGCGCAGACCGGTGCTCGGTGGTGACGGTGTTCAACCCGAAGCTGTCGGTGCCCCAGACGTACCGGGTAGAAGCACGCAGTGCCAAGATGAACCCGGAGAAGCCGCTGCTGGCCGTCACTGGTGAGTGAGTGCCCGAAAAACATGAACTCAAAATCCTCTTTCATGCCCTCTAAAGGGGTGTCCAAACAGGACACTACAAGACGCACAACTCCGACAAATCGTAAAAATTGAAGCGGACGCGCCCGCTTCAAGCCCGCTTCAATTTTCACGATTTGTCGGAGTCGTGCGTTTTGTAGTGTCCTGTTTGGACACCCCTTAACATAGAATCAACCTTATTGGCTTTTATCCTATAGTCGGTTACAGGTTAAAAAAGGTTGTGCATCGAAACTTAAAAGATACTTCACATGTTCAGAAATAAGTTAAACATGACAATCACACGCTCGTATTTCAAACGGATTGCTGTATTTTTCGTTCTAAATGTTTGATTCTGGCAAGCGCTTCAAATTCAGCCATCGAAGAGCATGGTCTGTTGCGCCACCGGCTTGCCCGCGATCTCATCGCCCTCCATAGGGCCAAGCATACCGTAGTTATGAGCATTGGCACTTGGTGGCGTCAACGCGTTACTACCTCGCTTAGTTAAGTTCCTAAGGGCTGTAACATATCACCAGATTACAGAGCTAGCGGAGTCGTGCGTGCTATGACAACACATAGTGCGTCGTCTGCTCTGCGACTTGACCGATATGGCAACATTGGTTTTGGGCGCGAGCTCGCTGTTCTTTAAACGAGGTGACATCTACGCGAGGCGGCTATGGTACCTTTGTTATCTCGCACGAGGCGAGATGCAGGTTGATTTCTTATCTCATGTTTTCTAAGGTGATGGCAGAATAATGTGCGACATTGGTAGGACATGGCAATTGCAACTTACTCAATTTTCCACCGACTGATCACGATGAACATACTCAACTAGGGCGCCAGCTTTACGGATAAATAGATATAGCTTTGAAGGCGCCATACCAGTTGGCCTTCTTCATTTATTAAAGCGAGCGGGGAAGCAGGCATAGTTAGGTAAGGCAGCACGGGTGTGGCATTACTCGAGTATTTCATGCAGCGTATTGCATCGATAGTTGTATGACCGCAGCATTGTCGCGCCACTGCAAAGAAACGCGTACACCACAACGATTTTCCGACATTCCTTGTCATAAGGGTGAACACTAAACGAACGAAGGGAAGGCATCGGCGCCACAGAAGCTTGTTCTGGTCTCAACGGGACACGATTTTCCAAGCGATAGCACAGAGAACACAACTGTACAATTTTCACATCGTCACACAAAAACTACCATAGAAAAAAGCTTGCATCGCCACGATTTTGTAATTCGACTTGTCTCAATGGGGAACACTAAACAAATAAAGAGAAGCGATCGGCACTGCTTTCGTCGGTCTAGTCCAACAATGCTTACACTATCGTCTAGGCGGGGGCACTTAGCACGTCGATGGAGACTAATTTGGACGACGAGGCGATCGCTGAATCTCACATCGTCGCACAGGAACTACCACGCACAAAAGCCGATACCGGCACACCTCTGCAATGTAAACCCGGGTCACGTCGAGAGGTTGGTGTCCCTTGGCGAGAACGACGTGGACAGCAGAGCGCGCCATGTTGATAAATATAATTCATCATCCCCTGACGTCCATGACATCAAAGAACGAGTGGAAGTGATTGGGTGGCGGAGTGAATCGAAGGTGGCCAGCTGTGCTTTGGCTTTCTTCACAAAACCTTCGGTATTATCTTCTGGCCTAGGTAACCTGTACTAGTGAGCATACTTCCCATATAGTGTAGCTGCCATCGGAGGCCGATGCTGTAATGACATTCCACTGAAGCTTCATAACCAACAACCAGGTGGTTTTTGATTATCGTTTTGCTTCAGTTTAAAGTATCATTTTCTTGCCTTTTGCAACGAAATATTAATGTTTCTGAGGTTCTACTGCTACCTACGTCATGTTAAAGCAAAGAAATGAGCTCCAGAATTTCGTTTCTGTACCCCTTTAAGAGTTCAGGGGAAGTACCTCCCACCTCCTTTCACTTTAGCAGAGTGAATGCCAGAAAGGAGGTTGCCTCCTCTCCAGCGTTCGCTCTGCTAAAATGGAAGGAAGTGGGAGGAGCTTCCCCTGCGCTCTTAACCTTTCACCTAGTGTAGTTAGTTGTGACTCAGTACGTAAATTGTTAGGGGCAAAATAATGATGCAAATAAGAAAACAGCTTCATTTACGAGGCCATGATACTCTGCTCTTTATAGAAACACTAAAGAAGCTTTCAAAACTTAATTATGTAGTAGGTACTTTTTGCAATACTTCTGTAACAAGTTGGATAGGCATTCAAGACAGTCAAGACCAAGTTTCAGTTTGGACAGCTGATTCCTTGGCCCACAAAATTAATTGAATGGAGCATGAACCGATCACAGCAACAGCAGTAACCACTAGGAGTGCATCTTGAACGTCCACTTTGAGAACGCGGAGAGTGAGAGTGTGAAAATTGGGTTCATGGCAGACGTTTTGGTGGCTGGCACATCATCTTCGCAGGTTTCATTTTGCGCAGGAATGTGCATGTTCTGGAAAAGAACGGGCTGGTTGCACATTTGTGAGCAACCCTGCTTCAGAAGCTACTCTGGCTACTGTAGGTGGGAAATGTTTCTGCAAAGCGAGGAATAACAGGCGCATCAGTGTGGCAACTGCAGACTTGACTCAGCATGGCTCGTAAATCGCTCGAGTCACACTTGCCAGCAGCCAAACGTTGGTATCTGAGGACTACACCCATAGCAGACATGCATAATGAACTCCCCCCATCCCAAAGAAGCAATACAAATGCCTCTAGAGAACAGCCTCGGTATCGTTTTGAAATGTTCTTTACACAGAGGTCCATAATGTCCGGTCCCTCCCCACCGACGGGAGGGTGGGCGCTTCCGCTTGCAGACGAGTCGAGCCTGTACCTGTACAGCACGCGCACCAAGAAGCTGCTGCACCAGTGCCGGCTGATGCAGGGCCTGGTTTACTGGACCTGGGTCAGCGCCTCCACCCTCGGCCTAGTCACCCGCCAGGCCGTCTTCCATTGGGACCTCTCCTCCGGTGGGTGTCCTTGACGCCGACCCCAACTTCCGAGCCCTCGCTGCGGTCACCTGTAAACAGACCTCTCGCGCATCCACCCACGAAATTCCGTCTGCCCCTCCTTGCCCCTAGCATCATCTACCACGTGGCACTAAAGAGAGTGGGATAGAGCGAGACGCCGAAAGGAGCGCAGTTGCTCGGGTGCCGTTGCCTGCGTTCTCTTCGACACCTAGCCTGCTACAACCGGTTCTGCACCCATCATTTATTTTTGCACTGCTTGTTTTGCAACGGATTTTTTGAGAAGCCTTCATCTCCTTGCTTTCTATATAGCGAGCAAGCCGGTGAAAACGCATCTCTCAGCACATCAGAGAGGTGGAGCAAGGAGCGAGAGGGCATGATTGTAAACCTGAGACTGGGGCAGAAAAGAAAACACAACAGAAGGTAGAAAAAGAGGAGGCAATGTCTCAATGAGACGTTGCCTCCTCTTTTTCTACCTTCTGTTGTGTTCTCTTTTCTGCCCCAGTCTCAGGTTTACAATCTTGTTCAACTTACACCAGCTCGCCTGCACTCTGACTATTTTTTCGTTGAGCAAGAGGGGTTGTTCTTGACAAGCGGGTTGTTTTTAAGTTGAATCACCGTGAAATACGGCTGGCTGGCTGCGCTCTGGGTGGGAGCGATACATCTCGAGAAATTATTTTTGCGTATTCGTTCATTTTGGGGAATAGAGTTTTGGTGTTGGACTCTGTCTTTGGGCATTGCCGAAAGATCCCGAATGTCTCAAGTGCATTACTTTTCACTTAGTACTTCCTTCTTGCTTAGACTTGTCAAACAATATGAAGGGAAAGTGAGTAAAAATGATCGGGAAAAATGTGAGCAAAAGATTGCAAGCAAGCTGGTGTGTGATATTCATACTTCACCCAAGGCCGGGACAACAAAAACAGTTTCCCTAGAGTTTTTTTTTTTTTTTTTGTTTCCTTTTTATTTGTATGTTTCAGTATCAGGATGTATATCAAGAGCATCACATTTGCTGTGTTTTTTTTTTTATAGCACAAAGTTAGTCTTAATGAAATATGGTGACTTAATTTTTTGCCCTTGGGTGGGTTTGAACAGTGAGGCGTGACATATAAATTGGAGGCTTCAAGTGCACCTTAACCCACGCACCACCTAGCTGTAAAGGATCGACACTTTCGGCCGTAGAAAACGTGCAAGCTTAGAACCGTGCGGTCTGCCTTAACATTTGTATGTGCTGGACGGACTTTGGTCACTGCGGAGGAACCGCACATCTAAGATGCTTCCCTCCCTCTTGTGCAGCGCCCACGGAACCGACATTTATGTTTGCCCTGAGCGAACGTCTCCGCAACACGGAGCTGGTGAGCTACATCACGGACGCGGGGTTCAAGTGGCTGGCTGTCACGGGCCTTTTTCAGGAGGTGAGTGACAACACGCCCACCTTTCGAGGCCGCCTTTGCACTCGATTCTCGAAGAAGCAAACATAGTATTTGGTGTAAGACTCGCTTCATTCTTTGTTCTTTGGCAGACGCAATGAGAGGTTTCACTCTTTGGACACGATCTGACTGCAGTCTGCCCTAGAGTCCCTGGATAGGCTAAGCTCAAGAGTGCTTTCACTGTGGCCCTCTGAATTGATGGATGGTAGCACCTATGTCCCCTGTACAGTAGAGTGTAGTTGGCGGTCTCCGCCAACTACAACCTACTGTATTTAGCAGCTTTTGGATGCTCTATTTGGTAAGCTCCCATTCGTTGCGACCTTCGGTATTAGCAGAGATGCCAATAAATTTCAACTCAAGCTTAATTTAACATATTTTGTATATAAAATTATTCATATATCAAACTGTTTTACGATCCCCTTTGAATTCGATATATCAGGGTTCGACTGTAGTTCTAAGGAATGCCACCCCACACCTCCTGGCGCTGCTCCCCTGCACCACGGCAGCAACGCACACCCACCACTCCCCAGACCCTGGCCGGCCTCTGCAGAGGATAGTGGGGTGCACAGCTTGTAGGAATACTCTACGTATGCAAGGGCTTTTGCTTTCTTACACGTAAGCTATCCTAAATGTCTTCCAGTAATTTTTTTTTGTTCGAATTATAGAAAAAATGCAAAAACAGTGACTGCGGTGATTGCAACATCCACCCGCACAAGAACCGACCGTGTTCCCTCCAGAAAACCTAAAAATTAGGGTCTGTATGCAGAATGCTGTGCGGCACTGCATGCGTGCGCGTCGGCCTGGGAATGGTAATGGTGGACGGGCCTGCGCCTTTCCCCTGGCATTTGTTGCTAGACAGTTCTTTGGCCTGATGTCAATTCTATGGAAGGAGTCTGGGAGGAGCGAAGGTATGGCGAGATGTCATTGAGGACAGTAGATGTCTGGACTCTTCCCCTATTTATGGCTCCGATCTCCTCCCCAATAGTGCGGTGCTCGGAACGCGTCTCCGACTGGCGTGCTCAGTCCCGTTCCGCCCATGCGTCGAAAGTGGTTTCGAGGTGGCAACAAATAAAGTGGGAAAAACCGGAGTGTCCCGTCGTCGGACGTTGCGATCCTGGTAGTTGGTCGTAGAAGTTCCGGCAAAAAGCACGAGCAAATTCGAGCGTCGCCAAAACGTCATTAACTCCCAGCTGCCGAAGCTTCTGCGAACCTTCAATCTGGAGAGCGAGCTGCAGCGGAACAGGCATCTGTTACATAAACCACCGCTGCTGCGACACCGTGCGACACTTCTGTGACGTTGTCGGGCGGGAACGGAGGGAGCGCCTTTTTGGATGTGGGGAATGTGCCGTTCGGAGAGGCCATCCGGGCACCGCGCCGATGGCGAGGCCCTTGAGCGACTCCCTCTTCCCCCCCGGGCAGGAGAAGCTGGTGTCGGGGCTGGTGCAGCTGCACAGCGTGTCCCGGGGGGTGGGGCAGCTGCTGCCGGGCCAGTGTGCCCAGCTGTGCCGGCACCAGTTCCCGGGCCACCCCGTGGCCTCGCAGCTGCTCCTGCTGGCCTCCAGGGACTCGCCCCGACCCCTGGGGAAGCTGCACGTGGCCGAGCTGGGCACTCCCCACGCGGGGGCCCTCAGGGGGCCCCTTCAGGAGACCCTGGAGTTCTTCGACCCCCTGGACAAGTTTGACTTCCCCGTGTCCCTCCAGGTGCGCCCCCCCGGTCTTTATTGCTCGTTTGGGGTTTTCTATGAGAAAATCGTCGCGAGCAAAGGTGCCCTTGCGGGGCTCGAACCCAGGTCGGTGCGGTGGTAGGCGGATACTATAGCCCCTGAGCTGCGTAGCACACCTGCTCTGGAGTATTGGGCTCTCGGAAAAACGTGCCGATGAAAGCAGTGGGACATCTTACCATTTGATGGTCCGGGCGGTTTGTGCGATCTGTGGTCTTTTTAAACACAATCAAAGTCGTGTATCTTTTTTTTTTTTTTTTTTTGCAGCAGAGCTGTTAAGATCTAGGTTCCTCAGGATCGTATCCGGTACCAAACAAATGTCGACACAAACCTACACAAACCTCTGGAGAGCTACCGCCATCTATAAGCGACGGCGGCAACCAGACAAGAAGTCTGGTTGCCGCCGTTGCTCATAGATGGTGGCAACCTTTCCAGCTATCATAGAAGGATGGATAGTTAGGCGAGTTGGAGGGAATTCCTCGTAGGAAACAGCGCAAAAAACACACGAGGATGAAGAAGAAACACACGTGATGAGTGCAGCACTTGTCATGCGTGTTTCGTCCTCGTCTGTTTTTCGCGCTGTTTCCTACGCTCTTATCAGTTTCGGTATGAAATCTCGATGGGTCGGCCGCGTGCCCTTCCTTCAGGGAAAGAAGACCGGGTGTGGAAGGAGCGGAGACGTACGCATCAACCAGTGTTGGGTAAAGTACACCTAAGAAGTACTTGAAGTAAGGTACAAATTAAATTAGAGGTTATGTACTTCGAGTAAAGTATTAAGTACACAGGGAGCGAAGTACTCCACGTAAAGTACTATAAATGCAATGTACTTTGAAAGTAAAGTACATGTACTTTTTAACACAATCTTTCATGATGTCCTTCCAATCCAGTGTACAGTGTGTTTTTAAACTGATATGTAGAGCCCTGTGCAGTAACAGTTTGATCATCTGTATCCGATCCGCAAAGTTTTTAAATAATTGTATCCGCATCCGCACACTTTTTATCCACATCTGAACAGCATCCGTAAATTTCGGAACAACATTCGACCCTCAATCCGCACATTCATTTTATGTCATTCAATCAAGCATGAATCAAAATGAAAAAGAAAAAAGCATCTGTGTGATATTTTATAAGTTGTCTGCTTACCTTTGTACAAAGAACTCTGAGTCAGAATTACGGTGAAAGTCATTTTATCGTATCTATAAAATAAGCGATCGTCCTTCCAGAGACACTTTGCATCGCTTGTAAGATGATCGCAGCTATGAGATCATCTTCGTGAGCGTCCGTGACACTGACACTCTGTCCAGAGGATGCGCTGGAAAGGAAAGAAATTGAAATATTTATTTTCTTGTTTGCTTTTTAAAACCCACTTTAAGCAGACACATATTTTATAAGCATAAAAATGAACAAAGGACAGACTATTCTGTCAATTTATGTTGGCCAAACAATAAAAAAGAGGGAGAGGAAATGCGCTCACTCACCGCAGCAAAGTACTCGTGTATATGTGGTAAGGCGCGAGTACACCACTGAGAAAATACCACAGTGGCAACACCTCCGATTGGTTCAGTCTTAAACGCAAACCCTCGGCTCCATGCTCGGAACCATATACTTAAAAACAACTCGGTGGCAACTGTCGAGAAAAAGAAAATGCACAAGCACACAACGTTTCAGTTGTCGAGGTTGCTGTGTAGAAGAAACAGAAACCCGTCAACATGGACGGATCAAAGACTAGTTTGCCTCTCTAAAATTAATACCCGCTAATGAGAAGTCCTTCTTTCTTGGTGCACTTGATGCTGGGGTAGCATGCACCAACTTCACGGCAAGAATGAGGTGCGGAAGCTCAAGCCGGCACAAGTTCCACCACTCCAGAGTGTTGAATTCAGTCTCCTCGATCTACTGAAAAGAAGCTACTTGCAGGTTTCTTCTACTTTCTTGTGGCTTGTACGTTTTGGGGTTTTCTTTACTCAAAAAAACGTTTTCTGCTCTTTCCATGCCAAACAAGAACACGCTTTCCCGGTACGACTGACGCCCCTGCATTCTTTACTTTTTTTTGAAACAGCATTTTTGGCGAGATAGAACGTTCTAAAGCAATTTTTGGTGAGAATCAAATCTTCCTTGATGTAAAAAATAATTTTCTCCCCGATTGGCACCGTTTATCTTAAAGAGTAGTGTTCTCCCGCATTACATTTGATGATGCATTTCATAGTATCACTCACTAATTCCCTCTACACTGTGCGGTCGCACACGTTTATGAACCACCTCGGCAAAAATGTTGATCCGGACACGCGAATATCCGCATCCGATCCACATCCGCAGCTTCTGGAATCCGCATCTGATGCACAACCCTCCAAATCCGATTCATTTTTATCCGCATCCGCCATTTTATTGCAGATATCCGCAGATATGCAGGGCTCTACTGATATGCATTGCCCCAGTGGTAATGAGGGTTCATCAGTTATTTGAGGAAATGGCATCGAAATTCGTGTGAAGTCAAGTGGCCACAGAGTAGTTGTTATACTCTTGCTTACAAACTATTCCACACAATCAACTTAAAGGGAATTATTTGTATTGGTGTTGTAGCTGCCATTACTTCACTCAGAAAAATGACCGGATCACTTCTCGAAAGACGATAGTTCATTTTCACATGATTATACGCCATTTTTCTGTTAAAGTTTGGTGAACTCTTATACTCGACCTCAGAAGTTGTGTGCAGTACTGGGAAAGCCAAGGACGCGAGCGAGTCGTTCTTGAAAGAGCTAAATTTCACTGAGACCAAATTGGGGGAATATGCTTTGAAGTCGGGAGTTGTACTTTCCGAGGAAAGTACCAGAAAAAATACTTTAAGTAAAGTACAAGTATAGTGCACCGCAATATGGAAGACCCACTGGGATCGCGTGGCCGAGGCGGTGGCTGGTTCCCGTTTTGATCCATTCCCAATACAATCTTCTCGTTTGTACCTTTTGTTTCTGCCCGGCTCAAAACGACCTTCTCGTTTCATCCTTTCCCATTTCGCCCTATCCCGAAACGACCTTTCCGCTTCGGCCATCGTTCGTTAAAAGTTGGGTCGGTTTGTTTGTATTGTTCGTTAACAGTTGATTAGGTTCACGTTGTCTGTTCTCCTTTCTCACATCACTTCTCCCTCTCCCGAAACAACCTCGAAGAGATGGCGCCGTAAGATAAACGCTGTGTCAGGGAGGGCTCACCCGAACATTTACAACCTCGACCTGATCAAACGGGATGAGGCCTTGACAAGGATATCACTGCAGCAGTTTGCAAATGGTGGTGCCGCGCGGGGCAGGTGACCGTTGCGAACAGTTGTAGTGTCGCCTTTCTGATGGCACGATTTTCCTGCTCAACTTCCTCAACCAAGGCGATAGCATTTTGTGGTTTATGAATTTTGCCTGTGTATGCGACAGTTCTGTGTTTGAACTTGTAAGAAATTGAAGTCGCTATCATATTTCCCGTTAGCCTGTCTGATATATCACTTTTCAAAAAATCCCGTTATAAGGAAGTTTTATAATAACGTACGGAAGCGCTTTGGGTAACCTAAAAATAGCGTCGCGACATAAAAACTTGGGCAACGCTACTTTTTGCTTACTCAAAGTGCCTGCCTGCATTATTCTAAGACTTCATTAGGGAGTTTTCGTAGACCACGTTTCCCCTTTCACTAAGGCCTCCGCAACGAAGAAGGCGCTAGTGCACCTGTGCACTGTGCACCGATGGCCTTGACTGTAGAGTTCCGGGTATCGTAGCGGGTTGCGAAGAGCGCCGCGTGACGTCGAAAACGGTCTACGAAAGCTCCCTGTTGTTGTACAGAGCATGAAACCGTTAGCGCGAACAAGCGATTGTTGGTTTCAGCTGTTTGTCTAAAAAAAATCAGAAGACTGCCATCAATATTATTAGTGTGTTTGAAAGTGAACATCTGGGCCACTAACCTAAGCGGTAAAATTTGGTATCATCTAATACCATTTCGAAGCAAAATTCGAAAAATCGCCAACATCTTGTTCGTGGTAACGTTGTCGCACAATGTACATAGTCTATTCTGTAGTTACACATTTTGGGGACCATCTTGAAAGAAACATTTAAAGTGGTTCAAGTAGAAATATATTTCATTGGAGCTTGTTTGAAAGTGATGTATATTTTAAGAATACGTTGACTATAAAAACTAGTTCAATACATAACTGAATAGCTTGGTTGCACCTTTGCATTAATTGCATTAACATGATTTCGGGACATATTCTTAAGGGGGGACACTACCCAGAAAAAACAATTTCTGCAAAAAAAAGTTGATTTTGAAAAATGTCATATTTACATCCACCAACATATAAAGTGTATTCCCAGAAAGTTTCATTAGTTTACACTGCATAGTTAATTTTTTATAAATTATTTTCGGTCCACCAATGCTAAAGAAAAGGTAGAGGTTGGAGCACTTTGAACGCAATTTTCTCTATTCCACTTTTTGGCATAAATTTCACTTTAGGAAAACTATTGTTTTGTTATTATGCAACTTGGATTCATTTTTATGAGTTTTTCTGGGGTGAAATTTTAAGGGGAAGATAACTATGAGCTTGTATTTTTTATTTTTGTCATTTTTCATGTTCAAGAACTAAAGGTTTGGACAAAGGATGGAAATCTAAAAAACTGTATTTGTGTTTATGTGGCTTTTTTGTCATGAAAGATGGTATAACATAGAAATATAGCTCCATAGTTATCTGCTCTGAACTGTCCTAATGCAATATAACATATGAAAACGACAAATTTATAAGTGATTTCAAAACGATAGTTTTCCTACGCAGACAGGCCCACTTTCGTCTTTGAACGTTTGCAATTTTTTTTGTACTTCACCCAGGTTAACAAAAATTGGCAGAAATGTTCTCAACATCAACAGAAACAAGCCCTGTTAATATAATTTAAATCGGACAAGTGGTTCGAAAATTTACTTTTTTGGGTAGTGTCCCCCCTTAAGCAGAAAAACTGCGCAAACCAGGATTAGAACGTGTGAGGAATAAAAGGAGGGCCGATCACATACCTTCCACGTCCGGAAACCTGTCCGGTCAAAGGGGAAATCCGATGCCCGTCCCACCGCGCGGCCGGCGGCTACCAGCGAGGGCGGTTGCCGCGCCGGGTTCGGCCAACGCCATGCCAACAACGATGATCCCGGTATCCAGCAGCGTTTACTGAGTACCAGGGGTCCCCAACAAGACACTGCGGTCAAGCGAGCCGCCGCGGGCACAGTGTGCCCGCATCGTCCGCCGACCTGAGAGCCAAAGGGGTAATTGCGAGCGGAGTCATCGCCGGTCGGGCGAGCTCGTGCTGCTACCCGTCGTTGCAGGAGTTCAGGGCCAGGGCTCTCGGCAGACAGACGTCCACAGGTAGTGCGGACGCCGACTGTCAGAGCCCAGGGAATCGCTAGCGTGGAGTCATCGCTGGTCGGACGAGCTCGCGCCGCGACTCTACCCGTTGCCCGGAGTCCAATCCAGGACTCCTTGACTACACGGCCGTACGGCCGTACACTCGGAGCAAAGCCGTATATGACTCGGAGGGCAGGCCCGACTCTCCCTCGCGCGATGTCGCTGTTCCCCCGAAATCGGGGAGACGCGCGGAGGAGTACGAGAGAGTAGGTCAGCATGGTGACATAGTCTCTCCGACACGATGCGGAGCGACTGGGCTCGAAGTCAGACGGCTTCGCCCGGAACAACCTCGGCTTGCGCCTTCTCGGGGGAGGGAAACCACTGGCTCCCACAAACGATGGACACTTTTCACGAAGTGGTTGAGATGTGCGGGGCTTTATACCTACGGGTTCAAACGGGACGAAGTCAAACGTAAAATATGTCTTGGCTACGGGTTCAAATATGAAGGGCGCTTGGGGAACAGGTTGAGACGGGACAGGTTCAAACGGGAAGGTCGTTTCGGGAATGGGTCGAAACGGGACGGGTTCAAACGGGAAGGTCATTTCGGGAATGGGTCAAAACGGGACGGGTTCAAACGGGAATGGGTTGTTTCGGGCTACACCCGAGGCGGTGGCTGGCGGGGGCGTTGCGAGCACTCCGGGCAGTTGCATTCTGCTTCGAGGGGAGGACCCTCACTCGAGGCTCAGCTAAAGTGCAACGCGCATATCAGTTTGTGCTGAGCTCCGAGTGAGTGTCCTTCCCTCGAAGCTGAATGGAAATGCCCGGAGCGCTCGATGGGAGACAATGCACGACAGGAGAGAATGCATATAAAGTGCAATCGCAGCACAACGGGAGGCAATGCATGCAAGCGGAATTTCCACGGCATTTTCATCCCGGTGCCATTCTCGGCGTTTGTGCGTACGACTCCCAATATGCTCGCTTTCCAAAGCGATGCTGCGGCGTCTCGCTCTAGACGACGCTCTCAGGGTGCTGACCAGAGCGTCTGCCTTACGCCAACTTTCTGCTGGCCAGGCAAGTGTTGGGCTCCGAATCTCACTCGTTCGACACCGATTCAGTGGACACCGCCACGTAAATGTGGGGCAAACAACCCTATTGCCACGGCCATGCTATGGCAACGTGGTTGTATGCCCCATATTTATGTGGCGGCTCCCATTATTTGAGCCGAGATATTGAGGGGGCATTTCAAGGCCATGTCTACTTCCATTACACCTTGCTCCAATATACAGGGAATACGGGCACAGCCTCCTGTCCACCATGACCTCCCCGTTGCAAAGCGTAGGGCCGCCATTGTGCCGTGACGTCTGCTTCCGGGTCCTCGGTGCAGGTGTCCAGCCGCCAGGGCCTGGTGTTTGTGCTGACCAAGTGCGGGGTGGTGCACCTGTGCGACCTGGAGACGGCCACCCCACTCTGCTCCCACGTCGTCTGCCCCGACATCACTTTCGCCGCGTCGCTCTCTCACGAGTGCGGCCTGCTCATCGTGTCCCGCAACGGGCAGGTGAGTGTGCGATTGGAAAGTGTGGTACGTCCCGGTCCAGGGTCCCTCTTCGCGAAATCCGTCCAGGAGCCCTTGTCATGTGCAATTTAGGTGACACCATGTGTCATCTCAGCTTGTCTTGTCTAAATTGCACACTTGTCACGTTGCACATTTGCAAATTAAATGGTGCATTTGTCTAAAATGGCACACTTGTCACGTGCAATTTAGATGACACCATGTGAAGTGCGCCTTCTCGGGTACTTTATTAGGGCCGGGTCGGCGCTGCAAACCACATCATTACTTGCAGCGACGTTTGGCGCCTGGGCTTTTCAAACATGCACCCCTTATTTGTGGCCATTTTTGTAGCTGTGAGACCTTGCACCAGCCCAGTGTTGTATGGAACGGCGTTCCAAAGAACGACGTTCCTGGAACGTGTTCCTTTTTGAATGAATGAAGGAACACCGTCGTTCCATTTTGCATTGGTGAAACCAGAACGGTAACTCGTTATGCTTGTGAGGAAACGGCAGGAGGAACGACATTCCTTTTTTTTTTTGTCTTTATATCTGCAATTTTACCTACATTTAGTAAGCATTGAGGCCTTTTATTATCGAGGATTTGAAACTCCGACTTCAAGGGATGGGGTGGTGTCCGAGAGAGAATCGGAACCAAAGGAATGGAACAAATGTGATCATTCCATGTCTATATGTTCACTTGCTTGCTATTTTATCTATGATTATCCCGCATAGTATTTCATTAAAGCACACAAATGTGGCATTAACCTGACGACACATTGCAATCTTTGAGATGTAACGGGAATGTGTTCCTTCCAAACCACGGAAACTTGAACTCGTTCCAAGATTGAAAAGGAGCGAGGAACAAACTTTCGTTCTTTTTTTGGAGGAACGTGTACGACATTGCACCAGCCTCCGAATCCTAAGCATGGTTTGTGTCTTATTGTGGAGAAGGTTTTGTAATGATTCTGTCAGTCTAAAATGTTTTTTATCGGCGAATAAAAGTGTTGAGAGCAAGTAGTGAAAGTGGCGAGAGGTGACGAGCACTTTTTAGTCCCCTAGTTATAATTTGACGTGCAAAAGCAGTTATGTCTGAAAGGAAGAGATTGTGTTCATTACGTTTGCACTGTCTGACTCTCGCCGTTGCAGGTCCTGCTCGTGGAGATGAAAAAGGCGGCGCTGCTGCGACGCGTCGCGGAGGTCGTCAACCGGCCCGCCATTTCTACCCGGTTGCGGCAGACCCTGCCCTGATTGGCCGCCGGGAGCGCCCGGTGTGGCGACCGTTTGAACTCTCGGTGCTGGAAGCTTTCAAAGTACCGCTCGCTTTTCTAGTCACCCGGCCGGCCTAGGTCACGGGCCGGCCGTCGAACCGTTCCTCCTTCGCCACTCCGTCTTTCTCCGGTCGTCCGCTTTTTGTGCGGAGTGGCTGGGCCGCACCCCGACTGCTAGTTTGTTCACTTTTATCGTGCCGTTGTGCCGGTCTTCGTTGTGTTGTCGAGGTGCGTCGGGAAGTTGAGGTAAACCTGTCGTGGCTTCGGCTTTTATGTCTGCAGATCGTGCCTGGGAGTGACGAGCAGGCAAGAGAGCCACAAAAAGGAACTTCCTGAATGTTTTTCCTCCTTTCTGATATGCTTGGACTTAAGTTCCTTTTAAACATGTTTTGCAGGAGTGTTTCGACTTGCTCGTCCTTTTGTTTTTAGAGGAACCGCAAGCGAGAACTTAATTCGGCCTATCGGGGTTGATGCAAACATATTTACCCGTATTTCATCTCTCACTCGGCAAGCTTTAACCCGCTCCATGTTGCGACGAATCTTCTTTTTTCATATTTCATTGGACAGTCTATGGAACCATTGGTTGCAAGCTGCGAGCTCACAGCGAAGGCACTGTTGCGTGCACTCTAATGCTATAATCACTGACAAGGTGAAAGCAGCAGGAGCGAGCTACAGTTGCCCCGCCTCCAGTGCGAGTTTCATACCTTCGATAGCGCCTCAACGACTTGTGCAACTCGAGCGCCGGGCGTTCTAAAAATCCGCCCTGCCTTTATCACCTTGTCCATGATTATACCAGTTTACTTTAGCTAGGTACAAAGACTTCCTTCTGGTTCATACGAAGCGTGCGTCGATGAATGCACGCTGGCTTTGTCTCAAGTTAAGGTCCGCACCCTGGGCCGTCCGTGTTCCAGACTGCACGCAGCCATGGCCAAGCGAAACTGGGGCATGGCAATTGGTTCGCCTCGCCCGTTGCCGTGCCCCCTCGTACCGACGGCGGGAACCTTCGCTCGTCGACAAGATCTCTCGCGTGCCTCCTCCACGCTCGCACGTGCACATCTCGCACACATTCTACTACTGCCGTCCATTCGCAGCGACGAAAGCGGCAAAGCATTTCGGTTTGTTCTAGTTTCTTCGATCTGTGGCTGTAGTTTGCGTCATTGCGTCGACGACTCGCACGCAATGACTTACGGGACTCGAGGCTGCCGACGTGACTATCCTGAAAGAAAACCAAAGCGTCGCTTAATTTTGGTCTTATTGTTCAGTTTTGTTTGTTTTGTTTTTACGTTTTGGAAAGAGTTGGCAAGTTGCTGTTCAGTTGCGGAGGTAAATAGGCGGACTTTTCGTGACCGTCTTATTTACAATCGTTTTGGGTGGCTTCCATTACGATTGCAAATAAGACGAAAAGTATGTACTACTAATCGTACCGGAAATGCATCCGATACATTTCCAGTACGATTAGTAGTACATACTTTTCCTTGACTATAGTCTGTGACAGGTGAAGAGGGCAAAAAAAAGCCCCTTGCACCTCTTTCCGCTTGAGCAGATTGAACTCTGGAAAAAAGGTTGCCTCCTCTCCACTGTTCACTCCGCTCAAGTGGAAAGAGGTGGAAAGAGCTTCCCTGAATTCTTGACCTGTCACCAACTATAGTTATCTTACAAACCAAGAAACTATAGTTATCTCCAAACCCCCCCCCCCAAAAAAAAGAATACTTCAATTTTATTTTTATTTTTTTCTCATTCGAGGTGCTAGAGTATGTTGTCAGGACGCCAAACAAATAATATTTCGCTGCAGAGTTGTCTTTTAGCGAGAAAAACACAAAGAAATGTTGCACCAATGGTGAGGGAATGGCGCGGAGGAATGTAATGTCATACACGCTGGAAGTCACGCGATTGAGAAGAGGAGAGTGAGGGCAGCTTCGGAGCAGCTGGTTATCATGCAGGAAAATGCCCGACTTTCAGCCACACCCATTTCTCGAATCTTTGTAGGTTGTTTCGCCGTAGCAACTTAGGCGTGCGTGAGTATTGTGTCAAAGCTCAAAGGCCTCTCGAAGATGGGCATTGCCACCCTGCGCAGCATCTAGCAGGTAGATGGCTCGCTTCCTAGTGTTCTTTTGCATTTGCGAGCATGCACCGTCATCAGCTTCATCGCTGACTTACATTGTACAGTGCAACCCACTTATAATGAAAATGAGAAAACCCGAAATTTCAATCGTTATAATCGATTATCATTGTATCTGGACTAGAAACTGATCATTTCCAGTCTAGAAACTCTAGAAACTGATCGTTATAAGCGGTACATCGTTACATTTGGTATCGTTATGAATATATTGACTCATACTGCCGAAATTTTAGAAATATGAATGCCACGATGGAGGCCTCTTTTTCTCAGGTTAAACAAAGGAGATTTCAGCCAGTGATTGCCAAACGTGACTGTATCCAAGACCGGTCAATCCGCAGGTGACAGTCGCGCTTTGTACGTTGCATGTTGATGGTCTGTCGTCTCGAATTCCGCAGCTTTCCTGGTGTTCCCCGATTTGATGCATTTGTAAGGCACGTAGTAAAACTGGGATGTCGTCAAACTTGCCCCACGACAATTAGAATTGCTAAGGCTTCGCCGTGCCTAGCCTTTACAAGGTTAAAGAGCTCGAAGCATGTTGCCTGCCTCTGCTTTCATACTAGGAGGAGTAGCTAAGTGAACGCACTGCCACATGGGCAAAATGTGTAAAGCTACGCATTGCCATGGATCAGGTTTGGTAAGGTATACCTCAAAGGTTTGCAGGGTTTAGGCAGTATGGCCCTGTGGCATCGGGCTTTAGCTAGCAGTTCTTTGTTCAAGGTTGTGCAAAATTAGAAAGAGTTTTCGTATTGTGTGCGTTTCTCTCGCAAAAAGTTCCTAACTAGGTTTCCTTATTGGGCACACTTCCTTATGCGCATAGAGTGTTATCTTTTGTTGCAAACACTCCGTGCAAATATGTAGACTCCAAATCGAAAAAGTTATCTCTGCGACTGTGGAGAAAATGCATCATTGATGAGGTTTACATTTATTGTACAATTGATTATTTGGCCCTTAGTAAGTTGGTTTCTAAGCACTGCGTCGAAAGGTCTCGCATTGGCACGTTCGTCCGTTTCGTGCGTGTGTGTGTGTACATTTTGCCGTTTTTGGGGGTACAGCCTGTTTTTATATGTAGGGTTACCTTGTTCCTCAAATGGCAAGACAACCCCATATTTACAATTAGCCATTTTCAAGGCCTTGGAAAGCGCTGAATGTCTGTTTGCAGGTGGGCCTCAGTGACAGGGAAACCAACGTTGTGAGGATTCCACTCAAAAGGCTACAATCCATGCTTTGACTATACTTGGTACACATGTACTGAGAAGGCAGATAGAGCTAAGCTTAACAGCCTCGAGGGAAATAACAAACTCAAAATTTAAAAAACTGACAAGCACACATTAAAAGAAGTTCTACAAGCTGCCCTGAAGTTTGCTTGGGAATACAGACTCAAAACGACCTTTCACCTTGCCACTGCTATATGCAATACCCTATAAGCTACTGTTGCCCTTAGAGATTTCTGTACAATTAGTACCTTGGGCCTCGTACTTGGTCAAGCGGTTGTTTACGCATTCAGTTGCGGGCTCCATTTTAATGTGCGTGGCAGAACTTGAAGCTTGTGTTTCACGTCGTGTTTTGGCTCATGCGTGCGCTCTTCTGTTCCACCCACACACATTTCATTCCTCCAAATGCTCGTAGAACTGGTTGGACGAGTGGTGGTTGTGTGCAAGCAAAAGATGTGTGTGTGGTGAGTGCTTTATTGAAATGAACGGTTTACTCCACGAATAATTTGCATTAGCCGAGCAAGCGTTGTTGGTTTGTTTTTCACAATGTTTTGTTGAGGTTTTTCTGCAATGTGCCAAATGATGTAGTCACGTACGAACGGTGGCATCTATGGTGCCTAGGTATTTTGACTACGGTTGTTAGGTGCAGGTTTTTGCATTCTTTTTTTCGAGTGAATTTTCTTCTGGTTTGTTTCAATATTTCAAAGTACTGTGATGGAGCAGATGGAATGCGTCCAGTATTGACAAAAACAAGCCGTTGCCTCGTTTCAGCATTGATCTAGTCTGACAGTGGCCGGATGCATACATAAAAGCTCGCATTTGCAACGTTCTCCGAATGCATACATTCTCTCAATGAAGTCTTGTGTTCCAGTGTTCCTTTCTCTTTAGAAAAAATTTTTATTGAGTTGCGAGCCTATGCTCTCCTCCCATTGCTCCATAGGGTAGGCACCTTAGTTTTATTTTGTACACTGCTTGCCCGGTGTTCGTTATCTGCTAGGGCACAACTCTATACTCTGTTTCACCTTGTGTTGTACCGCAGGAAAGGCTACAAGCGCGAGCTCCTTGCTCTAGGGCACATCTCGGCGGCAGAAGCTCTCGTGCACCAAGGGTAGCTGCCAATGCTATGAGCTCGCGCTTCTAGCCTTCGCTGCAGTACAACATAAGGTGAAACGGAGTATGGATTGGTGTAAAATATTGTGGATGTCGGTTTGACCATTTGTTCTGTCGGGAATGCTAGCCGGATGGAAGAGTGCTGTGAGTGGAAAAATGAAATTAAAACACAAAGTTCTTGCTGAAAAGTTACATGTAGGTGTACATACCCCCTGAAGTAATAAACACTGATGAACACACCAAGACTTGTTACTGTTGTGATAATCTTGTGTCTACGCCCGGGAGATGCGAGTCGTGCCTTTGTCCACGCTGCAACGACACTGAAATATGCCTGGAATCTATGTCTATACATTGGAGGCTAAACGACAAAAAAATTTAATGAAGGGGACAGAGGTGTTTTTTATTACTTGTCTTTTTTGTGTGTGTCTGTGATTTGGGGGTGGCAATCAATTGGTCAAAGGACGTTTTAGCAAATGCCAATTTTTCATCGAAAGACGCTTCAGCGAATAATCGACCGCTGCAAAGCGGCATTTATGGGTGCGCCAAGTGGGTTAACATCTCTGTAATGAGCCGCCGCAGACTTCTACCTCGAAGCGGCATGAGCGCAGCGCGGGGTTTGCGTTAGCACCAACAAGGTAGAGGGCCTTAGAGCAATAAACTTTACAGGGGGGCTATGTTCGACAAATGTTTCGTTTCTCCTAAAAAAAAGAAATGGAAGTGACAATATCGTGCCTGATTGCCTAGAGGCTCAAATGATGGAAGAGGGAACTTTCGTCATTTGAGCCTCTAAGGTGTCTAGTGGTCAAAAATCTGCAATATGGCGGTGGCCAATTGGGGGTCATTTTCACATGCCAGCTCTAAGGCCCTCTACCTAATTGACGTGCCCCCGTTATTTGCTAAAGCATTGATTCGTTCAAAGGGCGCTGTTTGCTAAAGCGTAATTCGGTCATGTGATATGGACCTGTTATTTGGTCAAGCTCAGTTTCTTAGTTAGATGGCGGCATAAAACGTACGTTCAAGCCACTTTCAATTAGTTGCCAAAACCAGCGTTGCGTCTGATGGCACTGAAATTTGTCACGAAAGGTTTCTCTAAGTGGTGCTTTGTTGAGCCTATTGATCGCTACCGTAGAAAAAACGTGCCTCGATCAAAGCTGCAATTAGGAACCAAAGTTCATATCTCTATGGATCGTTTTTTGCGTTGAAGTTCTTTTATATGTAAAATGAGAGGAAAGAGCTCATGTGATTGAGATGATTTAACAAAACGTTATAACTTGGCAACTTCGTTTTTTTTTTTTTTTTTTCCACTTGAAATGACAATTTTTGTATTTACGACTTGACTAAACAAAATTCTTTGCCTTTTTCACAGAACACAAATGCACCACGAACTTTTTTTTTTTGTGATTTATTTTAACCAGATTTGGACCATTTACCCCACGGGGTACGCGTGCTTTAGTAAAGTAATGATTTTTCAGCAACTTATTGCTTGGTGTTTATTCTGCACGTTGCATCAACCTACTTTTACATTTTGTCCACTTAACATCATCGCGAACGAGAAGCACATGAAAGCGTGGACCGCAGCCGATACCACGAGCCAGCACAGCCAATCCAAAGCTGTCAGCGTTTCACGTGCCTTCGCTGTTCACGCGTCACTGCACCCAACCATTAGGTCACGTGGCACGTCTTCAATTTTGGATTGGCTTTGATTATGATTCGTAGCATCGACTGCGGTCCGGTCGAACAGAGGCGTTGCAGAACCAGCGGGTCAACTTTGCGAAAGCTCGTCTTTGGAGCGCGTGGAGCGCACACGACCAACTGGGAGCGCACCACTGCAGCGCGCATGCGCAATCGCACTCTATTGTTCGCGGTTGCCTCTGGGTAAAAAAAGAGCAAACAGAAACGAGTCCGCCATGTTTAATCACATGACAGCTGTGGAGCGGAGCGAGGCGCATCGTCGTCGGCCGATGTTTTGGAGGCTCGGCACGAGCGGGATGTAGGCTGGACGTCTACTCAGCCGCGGCCCGGACCGAGGATCCTGCTGTGCAGCGCCCTTATCACCATGCGGCTCTCGTGACCAAACTCGGACATCGCGCAGGGACGAGCAATCGGCGGCAGCGACGCTCGGGCAGCGTTCACGGTCCGTGGACGGACGCGAGCTCGTCGGACAAGGCAGCGCTGAAACAGTACCGGTCCTGCAGCGATCCGCAAACCGTTTCGAGCAAGGTGAAGGACCTTGGGGCGGGCGTTTTGTTTGCGCCGCTGGGACCGTGCTGCAGGAAACGACGACTGTCCGCTCGAACGCTGCCGCTGGGACGGTCGGACAGGGCGGAGAAGGAAGCTGCCTTGTCCTCGGCGACTCGCTCTTGTACCCGCATTTATTCCCCTTTTTTTACTTTGTTGCCCCGTCGGCGTTGCATACCGCAATTGATCGCCTGCGAGGAGCGTCTCGGAAGGACCATCCGTCGTCCCGTGTTGTGAAGTGAGTGACGGGCTCCTAAAAAGGAAGCGGCGCGATGCCCGGAGGACGCCGGCGGAGGTGCGCGCGCTCGAGGTCCGTCCTCGGCGGACGGACGACTCGCCTCTGACGCCGACCCTTCTGTTCGTCGCGTCGGGTGGACCGAGGGTTCCCCTCGAAGAAAGCGAGTCAAGCTGGCTACCTTCAGCGCCAGGGAGAAGGCGGCGGTGATGTCCGAGTACCAGTGGTGAGCCTTTTCATCACCCCCTCCCTCCCGTTCTTTGGTGCCTGCCCCTGTTTGCCTCCGTAATCGAGTTTACAGCTGACCGATCGTTTTCGAGCCGTGCCCCGCATGCCAAATCAGTCCGCCGTCTCGGCCTTTCTCACGATCGGCGCTTCGCTGCTTTCGGCTCCAAAGCGCGCCGCCGCCGCTCGCGTTATCCAGCGGACGCGATGGAAATCGGACGCAAACAAGGGTATCGAGCGAGCTAGCCCAGCTCGCCTCGCCGAGTTGTTGGCGGCGGCGACTTCATCCGCGTTTAGGCCTAAGTTGCTGCTGTCTGCGGGGCACTGTTCATCTCGGGGACGATCGGGCTCGGTTTCGGGGCCGAAATGTAGGTCAGAGGCCGCCGTCGAAACAGGTGTGGAGAGCCGACCGCCCCTCGCCTATCCTTTGCCCGATGCGGCCGCCTGGCCAGCGGCGACCCGACCGTGTTGGTCTGCCCAATGCCGACGCCGATGAAAGAAACGCGTCGCAGACGGCGGACCAACACAACGAGGCCCGCTGCCAACAAAACGCGATCCTGCTTTTCTTCCTTCCGCTCGATGAGCCCGATCGGGACTTATCGCTTCGCAAAACAACTCGCGACGTTATCGGGAACCTTTGTTTGGCGGAAATGGCGAGAAGTGGACCGAGGGAAATCGTGTCCGTGTGAAGGGAGACGCCGGAGCCAGACCGTAGCAGACGTTGTTGCTGCCGTTTTTTTAGTATCAGGCGTCGGGAGTGTTTTACTTGTTTTTGGTAGTTGCTCGAGTGTGTCGAAACAGACTCCGTGCTTTGTGTTTGTGTTTAAGTGTGAATATCTTCTTTTTTTCTTTTTCGCGTTTTGTGTTTGGTAACAGCTGTGCCAAGAAAACTGTTTCCGGCTGAGCGGTTCTTGGCGCCGCGCAAGCGACCTAAAGAAAACAAGCAAAACGTTAAGCGTATGCACAATGCCACGGGAGCAGGTCATTGACCCAGGGAAATTATCAGTCGTTTCACGATCCTTTACGGTGCGACTTGTTTTCTCGGCAATCCCCGTATGAACACTCGCCGGGTGAATCCCATACTCGCGTGATTCAGGCATCACGTAGTACACAGCGCCTGGCAAGTTGAGTACACGTCGACGCCAGAAAAAAAAGTAACGGGGTGATCGCGTTGGTTGTTGGCCCCAAGCGTAGCCACACACAACAGCAGCAGCAACAACGGCCAATTGACACACTTTGCCCGTACACTTATCGTCCGCTAATGATCAGGGGAAAAAACGAACGCGGGTGTCCGGTTTGGGAAACGGGAGAGAAGGAAAGCGAGGAGGTTGTCGTGTCTTAAGCCATTACGTCACCCGGTAAAGAGCGGCCAGACCGTCCCGTATTTCTCTCCCCTCCTTCTTTCTTTCCCAGTCCCTCGGGGTAGTGTCATTTTCCTAAATATCTGCTGAACCCTGTCTATACCCCGTGAAACAGAAATGGGCTATCATCCAACTGGGGTATTCGAAGGTGGAGTCAGTCTGGCACGTTCTGGGGCTGGCAGCCGTCTGTTTCCTCAAGACTTGCTCTAAAACTAGATGCGCATGAATCTGTCTAGGATGGAGAATTTGATTTCCTTTCCACACGAAGTGAAATATTCTGGGACTCTGTAACCCAGATATGCTGTGTAGCATCTGCTTTACTCCAGATATTCTGTGCAATGCGAATGAAGTTGCAAGGGGCAACACGGCAATTCGTGCCAACACGGAAAAAGGTCTAAAACGATCCAAGCCATTTTGTTGCAAAGGTGTTGTCCCTCCTTCCTCTTTACACGTGCAGCAAAATTGTATTTGAAAGGCGGGTTATTGCAGGTTAGGCATTATGGACCATTCATTTCATAGGCATGGAATTGAAGATTTTATGCATGAGGCATTGTTTTTTAAGGGTACAATTCAGAAGGCTGTTTCGTGTTATCTGTGCTACTGTGATGGCCTTACAGAAAGAGTGCCCCCCTTCAATCAATAGTTAGTATCTTGTTTTCACAAATACTTGGTAATGGGTGGGTGGCTCAGCACAATTTTTAGGATAGAATTTAGAGGTCTGTGTGGGCACTGCTTGGTTTTTCTGAATACATTTGAATGACCCTGAGCTTAGTGTATCAGGAATCAACACTTTATAACTTTGGTAAGCCCGTCGTGCACGATAAACCCAGACATTGTCATAATAACGGGAAGGATGGAACAGGCAGGAGCATCGCACAAATTTTGGTCTTTTCACTCAACAAACACCACCTGTACTGGAATCATTGGAATGTTTGTATTTGTTCACAGTTTTAGGTCCAAATTGGTTTAAACACCCGAGCGATGTTAGAGTTATCCCTTACACCATCCTCATTTTGCTTTTGATGGGCTATCAGGATGTTTGTCCTTCATGTGTCGCCATAGTGCCTGGAACGCGTCTGACTGATGTGTTTACCACGTCCAAAAAAATGCTCCCTCAATTTCCGCCTGGCGACGTCGTACAAGTGCAACACTGTCGCAGCAGTGTTGCTGGACTTGGCAGACGCCTGTTCTACTGCGAGTCGTTGTCCGGCCTCATGGTCCACGGGAGCTTCGGCAACCCGGAGTTGGGATGCCGCGACAATCGCATGGGCTACTAGGACCACAACCTACAAACAGCTTGAAACTTCCACTTTTCCGACGTAATTTCTCGCCACTGTGGGACCACTTTCGACGCACAGGCAGAAGAGGATGCCAAAGACTCCCGTTGGATACGACGGGCAATGTACCGTCAGTGGAGTGACATGCACGGAGGACGACATGAGTGTTATAGAATAAGGTGAACGAGCAGCTATGAGGAAGCGTGTTCCTCCGAGGGGGGCAACGGCCTTCCTGGCTCTGCTCCTATCTGGCGACGTGCCCAGGCGTCGGGCAGAGACAACGTCTCGTCCCCGTCGTCCGCCTGCCTCTTTTTGGAGCGGTGAGAACTCAATTTCCGGGTGCGTTCCATCTCGCCCCTGTCAGTGCCGCATCCTTACGTTTCAAGGCCGCTCCACCGGGTGTGCAGCATTCCCCCCGTTCATTTTGTCTTTGTGGCCCCTTCCGGATTTTCTTGTCTTCCTCGCGTCGAATGCCAAGGCTGCGGAAAGCAGCAGAGGGTCTGCATCTCGGCGCGACGTCGACCTTGCCATGTTGCCGTTCACTTTGAGCGAGTGATTGTACTCAGCAACGACCAGTTCGACACTGCGGAAAGCGCGGGACAAAGCACGGGCACATTGATATACTTGGGTGAATGGGAGTTCCAGTCATGTTACACCACAGTGCAGCGGCGTCCTCAGCGAGATGTCAGGTATCAAGCTAGAAGCGTATCTCGTTGTTGCTCGGACAATCGACGCGGCAATGAAGTTGTCTTGTTGACAGTCTGGAGGCATTCCCGCTTTCGAGTGCCGACAGCTTATCTCCAGCTGCATTCTATTTTTACATCCTATAGGGCTTTATTGTTGTCAGGGAGATGGTCATTGCGAGAGTGGGTATTTCTCCTTCATAGAACTCTACGTTTTCTGCGAAAGCATCAGACAAAAAATGGGGGGGAGGTGGGGGGCATACCTGCGTAAAAGGGCACAATGTTATGCACAGCCTAGGAACCGGAAGGAGCTTTCTCTACGCTCGGAAAATTCCCTTAAAATCTGGTTTGAAGTCTTTTCTTGTCTGTTTGTCTTAACAGGATAACAGTTTGTGGTAGTAAAGACGTCACTGAATCATCATATCGGTCTTCTTTTTTGGCGGGCAATGAAGTGCAGACTGCATTTGCTCCTTTCTCGATTAAAGCATAAAATGTTTCTTAGCAGAACCCCCCAATACCAAAATTTTTTCTATCCATCCGTGTATCCCCTGCTAAATTTAGTGGGGAAACTGAATTGGAGTTTAGGTCATGGGATGTCACATGGCCTGCCATCTGGGAATTAAAAAGGACGAGAGGCCAAATGAAGAAAAACACAGCACTGCATTTGTGAATTTCTACATCCGGTCTTTCGTCGCTTGCGCCGTTTTAATTCTCGTGTGTGTACCATCTCGCCCAAGAAGCGCTGTCTTAACTCGTTCAAGCTTCACCCTTAGCAACACCAATTAAGTTTTCTCGGCAAAGTTGTTGGGAAAATTGACGTCACATGTCCTGAAGTGAATTATGTGTCGAGGAACTGGGGGAGAGGAGGAGACGAGAGCACGAAGGGACGTCAAATCGCCGAGCTCTGGTTGGAATGATTAGTGGGTCTCCACTACACTCAATGGACGCAGTTGTGTCTGCTGGTAGGGCATTTCTCAGTTTTCTTGCCGGCTGATCCTATTTTAGATTAGGAGGAAGTGTGCCAAAACGGTTGTAGTTAGGAGGATTGTAAGATTTGCAATTGCTTCCGTCCAGGCTTGGAGAAGGAAAGACGACTTGACATGCAATCTGAGATCATACTAAAAAAACGCCCAGAAAAAAACAAAAAAAAAAACATTCTTCCTGCCCCCCCAAAAAAAAGAAAAGAACTTCTCAAAATTTTTTTTGTTTTAGACATTTCCACATCTTCAAAGCTTCTGGTTTGGTGTGAGAGCTGGCATGCCCTAGCTACCATTTTAGCTGGAAATTTGCGGAAAGCAGTTTGCACATTCAACCACCAATTGTGATGACTCGCAGGGAAACACGGGAGCATACAGCATCTCAAATGAGGTTACGGACAGCAACACATTGTGTAGCGAACGTGCCATGAATGGAGGCAGCAGTCTGGGCACAGCGTCGTAATTTTAGCACCTTTGTTCTCTTTTTTTTGCTGCGGCACAATGCGACGAATGGCAGCGTGGGAGGCCTTCGGTTCTGCCCCGAAAACGAAGAAAGGGTCTGTCAGCCGACACTGATGCAATCTGACAGCTTTGCATTGGCTTGCAAATGAGGTGGGGGGCAGTGTCCCCCTGTTGTGAGTGGGCTGCTGCTGTGTCGCACCGCATCGTCTCTTTCTTTTAAAGATTGGGAAAGGGGGAAGCT